ACCAGTATTTGTTATTGGTTGATTTCATGATAGCAGCCATTCTTTCTGGAGTGAAGTGGAATCTCAGCATTGTTTTCATTTGCATCTCTCCAATGTTTCCCACTGGATACTAACCAGATAAATGTCTGTTAAATTTACTGAAATGTAATTTCATTTTGGAATTATAGTTGGGATTTTTATTCATTGACCTATTTAGTGATGAATTACATTAACCTATTGACCAGCATTCTGTGTTAAGCAGGCTTCCATTCCTAGAATTGTTACTCCTCACTCATTATTTGTTTCTCTTTTAAAATAGCTATGGCTGAATTTTACTTAATTTTGCTACTCAGTTTGGGATGTATGTTCAGGCTTGTGATCAGTTGAGGATTTATTGTTGCATTAAAGCAGACATTTTGGTTGGATATTTAGCATACACTAAATGTATGTACTTATCCAGAATCCACAATGTAACAGATTTCCTTTAAGCCCCTGGAAAAATGATATTGATTGAAACAGTCACACCCGAAGTGCCACAAATAACAGAATATCCCCCCTATAAGAACCTCAGTTTCTGATAGGGAAACCACAATTTCTGTTTCCAATGATAGACTACTGTTTCTTTCCTCTTCTCCTCTGATTTGCAATGATTCATCCCTCCGCTCTGAGATTAAAATTTCCTGCTTTAGGGAAGACTCTCCTGTCCACCATGACAGTATAAATGTGCTCACAGATGCTTTCTGTCTTGAATTTAACAATCTTTAGGCATTCATAATACTAACACTTTATGTGAGGCAGAATGTAAAAGTTAATTGAAAATATTCATTTACCTCTTAATCTTTATAAGATAGTTTTATTTGTGTGATTGTGAAGTATTTTTGTCAGGTCCATCAATATTTATTTTAGCTTACAACTACTTATGTAACACAATACATCCTGAATATAGGACATGTACACCTAGCACAATTTATATTGTGTTCATTTGATTTTGATGGGGTATTTTTCTCTCCTCTTCTTATCCATGCAATCCACATATTTTTTCTACTCAGAAGAATTTCCTGGGGAGGTATTCTGTGAAGGCAAAAAACATACAGATCATCACTCATAAGAAAAGCTATATGGCAGCAAGAAAGGTGTGAGAAGCCTGGTGTGTTTACAGTGATCAGAATCCCATCTATTGTATCAGTGGTAGGTTAAGAGATTATTGGTCAATGAGAGTCATCCAAAGCATTTTCATTGAGAAGTGAAGAACAGAAATGGATATGTATGAATGGATCATTTTACCACAGAAACTACAGAAGAGCAATTACAACAACGCATTCAATTTTGGCTTTAGTTCTAATGTGAAGTCAAAATTTATTGCTCCTACAGTAGAGGTGAGATAGTATTTTGCAGCAGAGAGAGTTTAAAATTTTTCTTAAGATTAAAAAGTTTTTATATTCCTACATTCTGATCTAGGCACTCTTACTGAAGATATGAATTTTTACATCACAGCTCTGCATTCTGTGTTGCCTTGAAAATGAGACCAAACTGGAAAATAATCAGTCTTTAAAATTTGAGGTAAAAAAATGAGAGCCTCAATCACTCTGCCTTACCAGCATTAGGGAGCAGCCACTGAGCAAGAGAATAGTGCAGTTTATTCTTCCTGCTTTGGGCATCACTATGGGACTGACAAGGGCTCATTTTCATGTTAGGTCTTATCTTCTGGGAAATACTGTCTGGTTGTATCTTGGGAGAGATGTATATCCAAAGCAATTATGAAGGAAAGGAGAAAATAATAATGTAACAACATTTAATAATGTAACAAGTTTTAACAAGTAATAAAAATGTAACAAGTAGTTTTGATAAGTTCCATTTATTGAGACTATTACCCTGAGCAGAGTCAGTTTTGAACACTGCAATGTTTCAGTAGTAGCAGCATTTTTTAAAGGAAAAAATAAGGTATCACAAGTGAATTGCAGCATCAGTATAAATGCTAACTCATATGAAAAAGGTTGTTTAAAGGTGTTAAAATAACTATTTATTCATTAGAGTAGAGGTATTAAAATAAAGAAGTATGTAGGTTATCAAAGAATGTACATAAACAATCTGCAATTTTTCTGGAAAGGTGATAGCAAACAAAAATTTGGAATACATCCACAAATTCAAATGGGAAAATTGTAATGACTGAACGAATGCTATGAAAAAGAAGAAATTTCAGCTACATTAAAGAAAGTGTAAATGATTACACGAATTTAAAAATGAATTGAGCTACAGCATGGCTGTGAGAACCACTGTCACTGGCTCAGAATGGGGTGAAGGAGCTCCATCCAGAGGTGACACTGTGAATAGTGACTGCCTGTCTTTCAGGTTCTGTTCATTGAATGTTGCTATTTCTTCCTTCTCTGAAAGACAAACCAGTGCCATGAAAGAAGAAAACAACACAGGTGCATTACAATTTCTTCTCCTGGGCCTCTCCAATGATCCTAAACTGCAGCCCTTTCTCTTTGGACTGTTCCTGTCCATGTACCTGGTCGTGGTGCTCGGGAACCTGCTCATCATCCTGGTTGTCAGCTCTGACTCCCACCTTCACACCCCCATGTACTTCTTCCTCTCCAACCTGTCCTTTGTGGATATCTGTTTCACCTCCACTACAGTCCCAAAGATGCTGATGAACATCCTGGCACACAATAAAGTTATTACCTACACAGAGTGCCTCACTCAGGTGTATATTTTTATGATTTGGGGGGGAATGGATAATTTCCTACTGACAGTGATGGCCTATGACCACTTTGTGGCCATCTGCCATCCCCTGAAATACATGATCATTATGACCCCTCAATTATGTGTCTTGCTGGTTCTGATATCCTGGATCATCATTTTCTGCTTCTCCCTGCTTCATATTCTCCTGCTGATTCAACTGACTTTCTCCACTGGCAATGAAATCCCACATTTCTTCTGTGAACTGTCTCTGCTTATTAAAGTGGCCACCTTTGATACCATTTTCAATATCAATATCATCCTATTGTATGTGTCAAGCATCCTGTTCATTGTGTGTCCCATTACTGGGATTCTCTTCTCTTACTCTCAGATCATATCTTCCATAGTGAGGATGTCCTCCTTTTCAAGCAAATATAAAGCATTTTCCACCTGTGTGTCTCACCTTTGTGGAGTCTCTTTGTTCTATGGAACAGCACTTGTGGTGTACCTCAGTTCGGCTGCTACTCATTCTTCCCATGAAAGCTCTGTTACCTCTGTGATGTACACTGTGGTGACACCCATGCTGAACCCCTTCATCTACAGCCTGAGGAACCAGGATGTGAAGGGGGCCATTGGAAGATTCATCATTAAAGCAGCCTCTGGTCCTTGATGGTCCACTCACATCCCAATTAAGTGGTCATTGTGTGCACTTAGGGAATGATGTGAATTTATACATATTACATGCTATTTTTTTTCTGCTGAATATTACACATGTAACTTCTTGTATTTCCAAAGCACTGTAACCCTGTTGTTGGATAGTTTTGTATCTGTTTCTCTTAACTCCCTCACTTAAAAAAATTTATCCCTCATCCATGCTCTATAAAGTTTCACATTTGGTAAGTTCTCTAATGGACCTTTCTGAGACTTTCAACATGATGGAAGCACTCAAATCAAGTGCTGACCTGGTCTTCTCAAATATATTGTATGAATACCAATGTTCTTTATGTTTTTTGAATTATTCTTTTTTTCTGGAAAAAGTAATCAAAGCAATGTATTTCCCATATTAAGACTATGCTTGACCCTTTAATTGTGTTACTATTAAGTCTTGAAATCATTTCTTTCAGATATTTCTCTCTGTCCCCTAATTTCTAAAGGGAAGAGAGTGAGACTCTTATGGTTTTAATTGGAATCTTACACTGAACATACAGTTCTTCCTTTGCTGTCCTTCTTTTTCATAAAATTGTTTAGATTTTCAAAACAAATCAGGAATCTCCCTTTGAAGTAAGTTTACAGATTTTATTCATAATGATATAGTGCCGTGCAAATTCTGAAATACTCTTTGTGAATCTTGCCTTTTTCCTCATCTCTTCTTTTCCTTTTTTTTTTTTTGTTTTTTTAATCTTCCCTCTTTCCCTTGTATCTCCATTTACATTTTTTTCTATCCTTCTTTATACCCTCTTGCCTTCTCCTCCTTCTTCATTTGGACACTTTTATTTGATAATGCTTACTTGCTGTGTTTCTTTTTTATGGATAAATACTATTGTAATGTGTAAACCCACAAGCTACTTATCCATTCATAGATGGCTGGCCATGTGTGTGAGTTCCATGTTTTAATATTATGAATAGTACTACAATAGATATGAGTGCAAATTTACTTGAGTACAATCATATGCCACATGAGGTGCTTCATTCAATGACAGATGGGATGTGCTGTGATGGCCCTAAAACTGTAATGGTGAACCTTTTAGAGCTTTCAGTGATATAAACAGGTGACTATGGCACACAGTCCATAGGATTATCACCACTGTCCTAAAAGGTTGCATTGTTCAGTGATGTCCTAGTCAGAATTCCCTGTTTAACCACACACTATGACATTCACACACGACAAAATCACCTAACAAATGTTTTTTTCAGAACCTACCCTAGTTGTTAATCATCAAATGACTATACTTGTTTGTGTGTGTGTGTGTGTGTGTGTGTGTGTGTGTGTGTAATGGGGATCAGAGTCAGGACCTTGTGCTTGTGAGGCAGGCGGTAGCACCACTAAATTCCTTGGCACAACTACACTTGTTCATAATAATGTATCTGGAAATGGAACTAATTGGTGGGTTATAAGGTCGTTTTATGTTTAATATCTTGAAGAATAACCAAACACTTTCTACATTGTAATGTATAAAGTTTCTAATAGTGTCCTATTAATACTTTAATTTTTTATTTAATCTAAATTATAGGCTTCTAGTGGGTGTTGTAGTAATCAACTTTCCTGGCACCCACAACATAAAAGAAAACATTTAATTTTACTTATGTTTTCAAGGAATTCAGTCCATGAATTCTTGGCTTCAGGAAGGAGATACAGTGGAAGTGCATGTTGGAGTAGAGCTTCTTGGTTTATGTCTGCAGGGAAGCAGAGGAAGGGTAAAGTTCCAGATAGGGAGAGATCATATATAGTACCTAAATCCATGCCTCAACAACCCCCTCAGACACAGCCAGAAATGTGCTCCACCAATCCCCTGGGATGCTCCCAAGCCAATCAACTTGACACAATGAAGCTTACCTGTCACACATGTGAAGTAGTATCACATTGTGGTTTTGATTTGAATTTATCCATGACTAAATATCATTTACAAGTGCTTGTTGGAAGTTTCATTATCTTTTATATAGAAATGTCTTTGTTCATTTTGCAATAGTGTACTGTGTACTTTTCCTACTGATCTATAAGATTTCTTCATATATTCTAAATACATGACCCTTACCAGATATGTGTTTGCAAATATTTCCCTGTGTATGTCATCTATTTCTTTGAAATATAACTTTTATTGTTAATAACCACACTCATCATGATATCATGATATGATATCTCTTAAAGTTATTTCTCCTATCTGAAATTTTTGGTCCTTCAATAAATATTTACCCAAGCCCATGACTCATAGTCTCTAGAACCTACTATTTTCACAACTTGGACTATTTTATATTTCATATGTGAGTTCATGTGAGGTATATCTTTCAAAGTCTGGCTCAGTTCTCTAAAAAGAATGTTGCACAGGCTCATCAAGTTGTTCAAAATAATATTGTTTCTTTCTTTCTTTGATTTCTTTTTTTCACTTTTTATTACTTTTGTTTTGGTTGGGTTTTTAATTAAGCTTATTGACAAATGTTAGATATACATAATGATCAAGTTCATTATAGGGAATTTGTACCTGTACATGATATATTTTGATTCTCCTTTTCTGCCCATTACTCTCAACTCCCTTCAACCACTGTTCTCCTCCTTATTTACAAAAGTTTGTTTCCATTTTTCCCTCTTTTCTCCTTTTTTGTTTTCCATTCATACATTCCCCCCCTTCCTAATTCCCCTTCCCAATTGAACATTTTCTTTCTCCTTAATAGTATCTATTATGTTGTTCTTATTTATACATTTGGTTTCTCATACCAGGAAAACAATGATATTTATACTTGTGTGTTTGATTTATTTCACATAAGATTATGGTCTCAGATCTCAGTGAGAATCTGGTGTGGTCTACAGAGGCATGGGTGTGGGTAGGTCCTAGCCAAAGCCCCCAATGACCCCACAGCTTAGGCCCACAGGCCCCAGCCAAAGGACCACCTAGAAAAGAGCTGCACAGGTGCACAAGCAACATCCAGAGCCTGACTCTGATACCATGTGTAAATGTTTGTAGACCCAACCCATAAGCTCACTCAGACACCAGCAACTTGGTAGCACAGTCCCCAGCCAAAGGCACTCCCAGAAAACAGCTGTAGAGGGAGGCAAGCCACAACTAGAGGCATGCCCAGACAAAATCCCTAGTGTGCACAGACTCTAGCCAGAACTCCACCCAGAAAACAGGACAGCACAAGGCTCTAGAAAGCCACCATTCAGAACCCAGAAATTGCTGCAGTGGTGAGCAGCACAGAAAAGGCCTCTCAGAGTCTTGCTTCAATTGAAGATCGACAGGAAAGCAAAAAAGCGCCTCAACAAAGGCTCATCAGGCTACCTATATTGAGATGAGAAGACACATAATCAAGTCCCAAAACCAGACATCCAGATCACCTAAGGCAACATACAAAGGACAATGAGATGGAACAATCTGATACCCAATCACCTAGACTCCCTGAACTGGCAACAAAAGAGTACCTGGAAAAAATGAAATAAAAAATAATTTCTCAAATGACACCAGAGATTGTGCACATAGTGCGAGATATGATTAATAAATCTAGAGCAGACACAAATAAAAAATAGAGGAGCTGAGGAGCATGATGCAATCCCAACATAAGAAACAAATGGAATTCATAAAAGAGATGCAAACAGATATCAGGGAGATTAAAAACTCCCTTGAAAGTTTACACAGAAGAGTAAGTGAATGTGAGGACAGAATTTCACATATAGAAAACAGGATTTCAATTAGTGACATGGAAAATAAAAATTTCTTAAAAATAGTAAAGGACCATAAGAAATCAATCCAGCACCTGCTGGAGATGATTCAAAGAAGAATAACATAAGACTGATTGGAATGAATGAAGAAACAGGAGAGAGTACAAACAACTTAAAAAGCTTCACAGAACTACTTGTAGAAAACTACCAAATCAGGGGGAGAGAATTGGACACATAGATAAGTGAGAAACATAGGACTCCAACTAGCATTCATCAAAAAAATCTACACCTAGGCATATAATAGTTAACATTCCAGAAATGCAACAGAAGGACAAAATTCTACAAGCAACTAAAGAAAAAAATCACATACAAACAAAAGCCCATCAAAATCACAGAAGACTTCTCAACACAAACGCACAAGGCAAGAAGTACTTGGAGTGATGTATTTCATGCCCTAAACAAAAACAAACTCCAACCCAGAGTGATGTACTGTACAAAAATATCTTTCAAAATTGATGGAGAAATAAGATACTTTCAGGACAAAGAGCGCCTGAGAAACTTCATGAATAACAAATCAGCACTCAGAAAAATTTTACACAAGGTCCTAGGAAAAGACAACAAGGATCACAACCACAGGAACCCCAGCAGAATGAATCCATCAGGCACAATAAGAAATTAAATGCAAAGAGGGAGCATCCAACAAAAAGAAAAAGTCATGACAAGGATAAGTCAATGCATATCAGTTATAACCATCAATGTCAAAGGTTTCAATTCACCAATCAAAAGAGACTGGCAGAATGGGTCAAGAAGAAAGATCCAACAATATGCTGCATACAAGAAACACACTTAATTCAAAAAGAAACTCATAGGCTGAAATTTTCAGGGTGGAGAACAATACTCCATGTTCAGGAACCTGAAAAAAAGCAGGAATAGCTATCCTATTAGAAGATGAAATGGATTTCAAATCAAGACTGATTGAGAGACAAAGATGGACACTAAATCTCTTTAAAGGGAAAAATCAAAAAGGAAGAGATAGCAATCATAAATACATATGCACCAAACACTAGGGCACCCAACTATATAAAACAAATACTAACAGACATGAAAAATCAAATAAGCACTAATACAATAGTAGTGGAGGAATTCAATACCCCACTGTCACAAATAGCTAGATAAATTATACTGAAAATAAACAATGAATTACAGAAACTCAAACTCTTGAACAAATGAACTTAACAGGTATTTTCCATTAAGTTCATTCATATATTTTAGGAATACAATACAGTTACATTCATCATTGG